TCCGCCATTTCTTCGTCGAGGGGTGACGCCCCCCCCCCCCTACACACACTCCATGATAACGTCTACCACCCCTCCCCCTGGAAACAAAATATAAAATTATATTCAAAATATATACTTTATCACCTATGTTCACTACCCATCCCCCAATGAGAATTTAATCAACTGTAAAAGTTCAAAATGCGTCCCGCCTCTCCCGGGAAAAAATAAATCTGAAAGAAACACCGCATAATTGAGGTTTAGCAGCCATAAGTAGGAAATGGTTCTAGGTAAAGAATGGCTGGTCTGTACGATCAAACATGCGACCAGTGTTTCTTTCAGTGATTCATGCATGCAACTTTTGTTAGGTTTAAGATTAGATGCAAGGCTTAGGGGTATGACTACGACTAAATTTAGTATCAACTAGACTTACACGGTCATCCCTTGGATAACTGTGGGTTTCGTGGGTCATCACGTCTGTCACTTATCACAAAATTACCAGACCCCACATTCAAAAAGACGTTTTTTATCTTTTTTTCTTCTTCTTCTTCTTCGTTCTTAATTATTAGTGTTGAAGGGGATCGAGATTTATCTGCCAGTGGGTTTGAACTCGAGACTGTTCGAATGTATCAACCATGAGCTTTTTGCCGACTCGACCACGCCTCCAACACAATTAAGCGTTACGTGTCAACTGGTTTTTGCGCCATTGAGGCCATTGACTCCGATTTCAGCCTGCTTTTCTTTTTGGATTTGCTTCCATAGCCTTTGTCCAACCAAGAACAAACTACAAGGCAGCAGTTGTTTAATTTTGGAGTTGTCTCTCCTAGAAGAGTGGCTGTCCCCAGCTAACGAGCCTCATCTGCCCGAGGGTTCGAACTCGAGACTTTTCGGTTTAGCAGCCATGAGCTTTACCGACTCGACCACTTTTAAAAACACCGATTTCAGCTGAGCATAGGTCTGACCACACTATCCCTTCATATACTGACGTCACAGGTGACCTACTCAACTCTACTTCACCTGCCCAGTGTCCCGCCAAGTCTCAGACAGCATGTTTTTATCGTTTAAAAAAACGATTCCGGCCTAGCATGTCTCTGACCACACTATCCCTTCATATGCTTAGGACAAAGAAACAGATGAACTCTACTTCACCTGCCCTGTTTCCTGCCAAGTTCAGATAGGCAACTTTATCATTCACATCTAAAAAAAACAAATTGATTTTTTTTAACATTGACGTGATGTGTCTAGAACCCGTGCTACCTGCAGGAAAGCCTATTACAATTACAACTTAAATATCTAGATTCGTGACGTCACTGCTGTTTTTTGTTGAGTCTCCTTACGCAACTTGATTTAAGCGCATAGGCCCTATCTCTAGATCTAGATCTAAGTCTAGTAACTTTCAATTTAAATTTTATCTTAAATTAACCAATTCCACAGCTAAACAGACCTTTATTATATAAAATAATAAAGGTCTGAAATAGTTTAGTATATAGAAACTCACTATTATCTAAATCTATATAGAATTATCTATATTATACGACTGGTTTGCTTAAGTCTAGTTTTTGCGTAGCTCTTGCTAGATCTAGATTAGACCTATTCTAGATCTAAATAGATACATCACAAAGATTTATATCAAGTATTTAAGGACTAAAGTAGTTTAATAAAGAAACTCAAAAATGTATTATGATTTTAAAATGGATACTTTTTTTAACTAAACTAATTAGTCTCTGTTTTGATCTAGATTCTAGATCTAGATCTATATATAACTTTCTTGGCCACCTGATATTTAGATCTATAAATAACTTTCTTGGCCACCTGATATTTAGATCTATAAATAACTTTCTTGGACAGATTGTAGAGCTAGATACATTTATTGTAAAATTAAATGAAAAAGACATTTGAAAATTGATATAAGTGTTTGTACATAATAAAAACAGCAAATGGACGTATTGTTAAAGTTATAGCCGACAGAAAATTAGCTTTAGAACGCGTTAAACATTGGAATGGGAACACAATCTTCTTTGATAGAAGCCGCCATTTATTGTACTAAAAAGAAAAAAAAATATGTGACGTCACTATTCCCTCAAAGTAAAATCGTTTTTCTAAACTTTTAATTTCTAAACTTTTAAAATTAATGTGGTTAATCTACCAATGAATAAATCAATAAATTAATTAACGTCTTTAAATAAATTTGTGATTAACAGTCTGTCTGAAAACATTACATACATACTATTTTACAGCCCTACACATAGAGCAGATTCTCTCCATTACCCAATCAGACAAACAAAAAAAAAAACGAAAAAAAAAAACAAATAAATATTCAAACATGTAAACAAACTTGAATTTTAGTAGTATATAGATGTCCACAAATTGCGTGTAGATCAATTTTACTAGATAAAGTTATGCGGAAATGTCTAGGTACTAGGTATTATTTTTGAGAAAAAGAAAACACTATCAATCTAGCGCCCGTTGAATATTTAATATGAATGTGCAGTAGCTACGTGCGAAATTAAGGTTAAAATCGGTTAAAATGTCAGTTCTGGATAAAATTAGATTTCAATGATATTTTTCGTTTCTGGTTAAATTTGAAGTTGAGGTGGAGATGTTAGTTTTAGTTTAGAGAAAAATACATCACCGTCAACCTAGCGCCTGTTGTATTTCTCCCACAACGCGCCACTTACCTCGCAATTAATATGTTTATATCCCCTGAGTCACCGGAAGGTACCGGATTAATGTTTTTTAACTTCCGGTGCAGCGATTTTTAATCTCTTCCTGTATGTGTAGTTCACAATCGTTTTTATAGATCTTAAACATGTTCTTACTTTTTCTTTGTTCTTACCTTACTACTAAATTTTTCAAACCTAAACATTTTAATTGGCATCTTCAACAGTCAGGTAAGTGTGCTTAGCTTAGGTTTCAACAATTGTCATCCAACTGTTTTTTATTAGATTAATGTTTACACGCATACTTTTGAATACTGTCAGGAGACACGGTAATTGTTTTAGGATTTCTTAGAAATGGCAGGTTTTTTAAAATGTGGATTGACATAAATTATATTTTGATAATAAGTAATTGAAATTTACTCCAAACATGGTATGTATATATTAAAAAGAAGGTTAGCATGTGGTTAACACATATTGTAATAAAATTTTGATTTGCATTGGTTAAAGCAAACCTAAAAAAAAATATAGCAGTTGCACGCTAGGTTTACTAAGTTTAGTAAAGTTTATTTGTATGCCTTAGTCTAGTTCTAGTAGTAAGATGTATAAATGTAGACTGGTAATATTCCCTACTTTTCAATAATTATAATATAGACCGTATGGTAAGTTTAAGCTTAGCTTTAATTAGTTAATCTTAAGTTTGTTTGGCTAAACTTAGCATAGTCATTTCAGTGTCGGTTTAGATCTGATAATATGAATTTAAATTAGGTCTCATAAAATTGGGATAGGTTTAGGGTTGGGTTAGATTAGCTATAAAAATATGCATTTCAATTCAAGATTAACTTGTCATTAAATCAATTCGTTTCAGAACCAAGTTTTATGCAATATGACATCAAATTTGACTTAATTGGTTATATATATATATATATATATATATATATATATATATATATATATATATATATATATATATATATATATATATATATTTATATATATATATATATATATATATATATATATATATATATATATATATATATATATATATATATATATATATATATATTTATATATATATATATATATATATATATATATATATATTTATATAATTATATATATATATATATATATATATATATATATATATATATATATATATATTTATATATATATATATATATATATATATATATATATTTATATAATTATATATATATATATATATATATATATATATATATATATATTTATATATATATATATATATATATATATATATATATATTTATTTATTTATTTATTATTTAATATGCATTTCAATTTTGTGTAAGTGGGCCTGATGCGTATATAAGAACGTAGAGATTATCTACCTGTTGTGTTAATATAAAATTTATATCAAATCCGTTTTTATGATTTATTTGAAAACATCATTAAAAGTATAGGTTTACAAAAATACAATATGATAAACTAAGTGCTACTTACCTTATATACATCTATATACCCATCATCCAATTCTAAACGTTCTCAATAGTCTTGTCGATCATTAGATGATTGCGCATTACAAATCCAAGCACAATGCCTGGTTGGTAAGGTGAGAAAAGACAGATGTTGCCCACATATCAGTCGACCTCAGCCTTTGAACTTTTAATTCTTTTTACTCTAGAATCAATGGCGTCTTTTTATTGTGTGTACTTTTCAGGCTATACAACTGTACATATTTCGTTTCGTTATTTTTTGTTGTTGAAAAAATCATATCTATATCCCGAGTTACCACCCCTCTTAGTGTTATATAAGAATATTCCAGAAAGCTTAGGAGTAATCACTCCCGGTTTATTACTTAGTTAAACTTTTAAAAATAGAATAGAATCTTGTAGAAAAAAGAATTGCGCACCAAGTAAACGCCAAACAATATGTGTATAATAGTGCGGAATATTATTTTTACTTTATAAATTCACATGCGTTTTTTTTTTAGAAATTTGAAATAGCGTGATTTACTACTTCCGTCAACAGAAATTGGAATAAAGGCAGAAAAATAAATCTTTTACTTACATGTGAAATTTCATTAATCTTTTTGAAACAGTGCTCAAATTACAGGTTTTTGAAAAAAAATAACAGTAAACACGTTCCATTTCCGGCGACCTAGCTGTAACGGTACTCAAGTTATCGTGTACACACACACAAAGACACACACAAATACGGACAAGATTGCAAAACTTTTTGTCCACTCAGGGAGGTGTAAAACTTCGAGATTTGAAAACAATCTCTATTCTTTTTTTGCACGATTACAATAATTCCTTTATACTATGTATACGAGAAAGTAGAAAGAGGAAAAAAATATTTTCAAATCTGTTTATGTTTTAAGCATTTCCGCACAAACCTGATGAAAATGAAGATGATAGTTGTTCTGGTAATCCTGGCGAGTCTTGCAGTGCACTCGGACAGGTAGGTACTAATTTTTTAGCAACTAGTGTAATAGCCTGGTTAATAGTTATTCAATTCATTCCATGCTTTAGTTTTAAGTATGCGGGGACTGCGTGGTCGGATAATATAGAGTACGGAAGCTTATGTGAAAATCTTTGAGTTCGGATCACGGGCTCGAGTACTTAGGACGTCCCTGAATCAACAAAGCTCTAATGGATACCTGGCTCATGTTAGAGAAGGTTAAGGCGACTGGGCATAGTGTTGATTACACTTCGCCTTTAATTATCGGGGTCCCTGAAACATGTGTACTTCATCTGTCCACTAGACTGGCTGTTTCGAAAGTGTAGGCTGCTTTCCTTAATCTTACAGCAGAAAGTTGCTTAATATAGTAAACTGAAAGTATTGCAAACATAAAACTAAAAATTGGATTTTAATAGTAGTATCAAATTGAAAATGTACACAAAAATTGATACGTTACAACAACATAAATCATACAAGGTTAATACAAATTATTTTCTTTTATTTTTATACAATTGAATACACTTTCTCGGTGTTTATTACCTTATTGTAAGCCAAATGCATCATACACCCGAATATTGACTTACCAAGGTGCAGCCTGAACGGTCTTATATAAATAATACACGCCACTTAACATGCATTCTTCCCAACTAGTGCTTTTTTTCCCTCCAGAAATTGTTGTACCCGGTGGATGGGATTGCACCTGAAAATTAAATCTCATTTTGTGTGTGTGTGTGTTGTGGGGGGGGGGGGGGACGGCTGTGGTATACACTATTGAAATTATTTATTTTCTATATGAATTATATTACAATTTAAAGTAGAGGGAGTGGACGACCTTTCAAAAAGATGTGACGGGGGGGGGGGGAGGGGAGGGTGGGGGGGGGGGGCATAAGCTTTTACGAAGACGTGCATGAAAGAGACTATTTTTTTTTCAATCCGACAGTTGCCCATGCGTTAAAAGGAACCGTCGTTGTAATTTGGGCATCTGGGAACCACAGTGCTGTGATTCCATGACTTGTGTGCGACCAAATGAGTAAGAGAGTAATATATATATATATATGTATATATATGTATATATATATATATATATATATATATATATATATATATATATATATATATATATATATATATATATATATATATATATAAACAAATATTGGAATATGGCAGCACGATTTAATTAATTATAATACGCGATCACTTTTACACTTAGGCTCCTGTACAATTACATTTGGCCCTACGTCAATCCGGCTTGGACGCCACGGCATTTTTACCAAGATGCTAATACAATCCCACTAGGCGACACGACAATCCTACTAAGACGCCACGACATTCTTACTTAGTATTAAATAATTAATCCGAAAACGTAGTCTAGTTTTAAAAAATATATATATATATATTTACCTATCCACCACTTCACCCAACGTAACATAAAAATTATGTCAATGAAAATTATTTTACTCTTTCAAATTAACGTTTTTTTTTTCTTATTTTAAAACTATTTACTGAGCTCGGTCAAAGTTGAGTATAATAATATCAAATTTCTTTCTTCTACTTCAATTTTTAATTCTAGAGTCGAAAAAAATTAATTAAGTATCACGTGTAAAATTGCCTTGCGCTATATAGGCCAATGACTCCGATTTTATCCCGCTCATCCTTTTGTCCATCCAAGAACAAACTACAAGATAGTAGTTTATTGATATTGGAATTATCTTTCCTTGATGTTTTTGTCCCCAGCTATGAACCCTTTTCAGCCGGGTGTTAGAACAATAGGACTTCAGCAAACATGAGCATAACCGAAACATGGATCTCTTTTCTACTATAATTTCTAATCAATTTCCATAGCTTGAAATGGATGATTAAATTATGTTTGTAGCGCATATTTGTAAAATGCAAAAAATAATGTGGTTACTATTTCTGACCAGCATCAAGCATCTTCACAAAAATCAGATTATCCCTCTTCGTCCCCAGGTGTGCCGTCATTTAGGAGCACTCCTTGTTCCTTGTTTAGCTTTTTTTTTTTTAAATTATTATTAAATATTAACGTACCCGTCTAAAAATTCTAAGAAGGTCACAAATAATATATTCTAAGAGGTGTGGCCTTGTTTTCTAAAACTGAATTGCCCGTGCTTGTATCCAGTGGCGTAGCGAGGTCGAGTGTCACCCGGTGTGGCACTTAATGGTGTCACCCCCTAGAGGCGTAGTGACCCTTCTCAGGGACAAACTTTCAAATTTTCGAGATTTGCACCCCCCCTTAATCTTTCGATTTGCACTACCCCCTACCCCCTCAAACTTTCGATTTGCACCCCCCTCAAGTTTTGCTCTATATATTTTGCTATTTTTTGCCTTGGTGTCACCTCCCTAAATGGTGTCACCCGGTGAGGTCCGCACCCCCGCCCCTCCCCCCTCGCTACGCCTCTGCTTGTATCATTTTTATCGGGGCACGGGTTCACCTACAATGTAAGCATCAAGTGTATATTAATCACTCACGGTAATTGTGAGGTGGAACACATTTCGGTGACCGCCCAGATGTCAAGGAGTAGAGGGGCGCTCTTGGGAGTCCCCGAATACACTACCGAAATGGCGCCCAGTAGGGCCCCTGGCTAATTAAAAACTGTGTCGCTCATAGGTTAATCTAGTATGCCTTATAGTACCCAGTTTAATTTATTGAACGACTTTAATATCCCATTTTATCCATAGCCTAACGCACACAAAAAATAAAATCAAACGTAAGCGATAGCGCTCAAGGGATAAACTGGGGAGTCAAATTTTACCCTGACGGCGTGACGGCGAATGCGTCTGATTCGATTTAGTGAACGACAATAACGCCCCATCTTATCTATAGTCTTTCGCACTGTTTAATATGAACGTAGGATTCAACATAGCGCTCGCGGCAAAGACAAGAGCGCCTAATCACAACTTGCCGGGGGCCGCCTGTGTAAAATTGAATTTTTAAAAGTAGAAACCACCTCCAGGGTATTTTCATTAGCTTCCAGAAATTCATTGCTATTGGGTTAGTATGGTTTGTAAGCTATTTGGAGCTCCAAGATTTCCCGTGAGCACTATGGCGTCTACGTTTGTTTTAAAAAGTGCGATAGGTTATGGATAAGAAGGGTTAATAAAGCCCAGCACTAAATAGAATCAAGTGCTTCTTACGGCTCGACAAAGTTCTATTTTGCGCCAAGGGCCTCCCCATGAGCGCTATGGCAATTACGTTATTTTTAGTGATCGCAATAGACTATAAAAAAGTAAGGGTATTTTAGTAGTTTACTAAATTGAATCAAGTGGTTCCACCGGTGTCCCGATAGGGTGCGATTTGGCGACCAGGGCTAGACTGCGAGCCTTATGCGTTTATGTTTGCATTTAAACTTGTGTTTATTTTATGCGTTATTGTTTGCGTTTAGGTTTGCGTTTGCATTTGTGTTTGCGTGTTGCGTTTGGGGTTTTCTTTTGTGTTTGCGTTTATGTTTGTGTTTGCGTTTGCTTTGTGTTTGTGTATTCGTTTGTGTTTGTGTTAGCGTGTTTGTGTTTGCGTTTGCGTTTGCTTTGTGTTTGTTTTAGCTTTTGTGTTTGTATTGCGTTGTGTTTGAGTTTAGTTTTGTTCTGTTCCGAAATTGGTACATTTAAAAAGGCCTAGCTCAAGTATGCAGTCTGTGTATATAACATATATATTTCTCTCTCTCTCTCTCTCTCTATATATATATATATATATATATATATATATATATATATATATATATATATATATAGAGAGAGAGAGAGAGAGAGAGAGAGAGAGTTTTACATGGAATTTTAAAAGATTTAACAGTTTAACCAGTTGATTTAGAGTTAAATTGCAGATAGGCGGACTAAAATTTACAGTTATAATATGTTATAATTTACATTCAGCAATGTGATTAATTAACATAAATCAGAACCAAAAGGGGTTGGGGATTGTGTGGTAGGGAGGTTAAAGCTCATGGTTACTAAACCGTAAAGTCCCCAGTAAAGACAGCTGGGGCTCGCTAAGTAGGGATAATAAAATATCTAAGAGAGGAAAGTTGATTTAGTTCTAAATTGTAGTTTGTTCTTAGATGGGTAAAGGCTATATAAGATCATCCAGACAGAAAAGTTGGATGATATCTGAGTAATCAGGCCAGTTGGCACATGACCGCTTGATACGTAATCATCAATTCTGAGAGTTGTAATCTTTTCCACCTTTACAATTGAGAACTAAAAAGAAGCCAAAGATACACCTTAGTTATCTTTTTCTTTATTTAGATGGGCATTGTCTGGGAGATGCGATAATGGTAAGTTATTTAATTATAAAGAGCTTTTTAAATATATCATATTTATTATCATACGTTTATGATACTCATATTTTAATGTGTATTTGTAAATTTGTCTTTAAACTTTGAAAATATTCAAATTTTACTAAGAAGATTTATGTAAAAATTATATTTTTACAAGAGCACTGTGAAATAACTTTTCCGAACATGACGGTCCGTGTTTCAGTGATATTAACATATGCAAGGATAACGTGATGAGCTATCCCCATCCACTTACGTTTCTTATTTTAAGTCAAGAACGACTCAGAGTTGGGTGTACACAATAGCAATTTACTAACACAAACTCTGGATTCGAATTTGAGACTTTTGGGTTAGCAGTCGTATGCTCTACCTTCCGACAATAATTCTCCCACAGACAGATAAATCTCTAAGACACCATATTTAAACCGACATGGACGTTTTCGACAGCACCGTGTTTAGACATACCTTTGCATTTTCATAATTTTGTTGGGATAAAATATAATTAAAATTAATTCTAAATTGAATGGTATTTCACCATACAAATATTTTTAAATTCGTAAAGAAACATATCTCTCTAGTGTTTTTGTATTTGTTGCAAAAACTCGCCTACTGAGACTATACGATTTTGTAAAAGAATGATAAACTAGTTATTATATGAGCAAGATAAATGCTATTTTGTTTAACCGTGAGACCTCAGCAAAAACATTTTTTTTTACAAATGGGGCGCCTATTTTCCGTGGCAATAATATTTTTAAAGGATTTCCCTGCTGCATGAAAATATTTTCCCTCATGTACCTTAAATAAGATACACACAAATAAATAAAGGATTTTTATTAATTAAAAGGTTTTGTTTTTACCAGTTATTTTTTTTGAGCCTACCCTTTTTTTAGGACTACCTCCCCGTTAACAACAAATGCAATATTTAAACCTACCTACAATTCAACTATATTTAATTAAACCTACATCTCTGATTACGTCGCTGCAATTTTTATACCTATCTGCGTGATTTAGATTCGGCTACATTTAAACATACCTCTGTGGATACAGAGTGCCATTTTTATTACTAGCTTCCTAAAGACAGCGCCGTTTATTTAAACTTAACTTCCTATTTAGAAAACAGTCATATTTAAATCTATTTCCTTGATCACAACGGCACATACTTAAACCTACTAGTCTGATGCTAAAGCCACCAGCTTTAACTTCAACTCGTGAACGCCCAGTTATCAATATCTCCCTCCGGTAACAGCTTACACCCAATCGCTGTGAGGAGAACTGATCATGACATGTTTCAATCTTTATGTACAATCTAATATATAAAGCTCAGTTCTGTATGTAATGCATTTGTATGTCGTTGGAATTGTACGGATTTTCAGTGTTAGAAAATTATCGTGCGCATTTGTCTAAATTTATGAGCTAAAAAATTACCATTGAAAGTGTTTGGAAATCATTTTCATTTTTCAAATTACAGTAATAATTATCGGCATGTTCATTAAACACAAGTTTAAAAAAAATATCATCTTTTACAAAAATTCTAATTATGTCTTTATTTAGTCCTATAGCACTTACTTCCCTTTGATAAATTAGGAAAACAAAATTACTTCCCTTTATAAAACAATTGCATTCCGTGAAAATAATTTACTTTTTAATTACTTTGTTTTGGTGTTGGGGAAAAAAATAATTACATAATTAGCGGGGATTGATCAAGTGCAAATGTTGTAGGTATTTTACGGATAAGCTTGGACTATTAAAATTGTTTATTAAATTGAAACAGGCGCGTTCGTTTAAGTGAGTGCAAAAGACTTTGAATAAGTTGGGGTACTATAGTCGTTCATTAAGCTAAAACAGGTGATTCTGCCCCGGGCGTTTATGTTCGCGTTAGTGTTTTCTTTGTGTTTAGGTGGGTTTGCGTTAGTGGTTGCGTTTTAATTTGGTTCGTTTTTGTTCTTTCTTTTTTCGTTTTTGTTTGTGTTTTTTTTGTTTGGGTTTGTATTTGTGTTTTTGGTTGGTTTTGCGTTTGGATTTGGTTTGTTTTCGTTTGCTTTTTTCGTTGATTTTTTTTGTGTTGGTATTGGTGTTTGTGGTTGGGTTTGTTGTTAGGTTTTTGTTTTCGTTTGCTTTTTTGTTTGTTTTTTCTTTGTGTTTGTATTGGTGTTTGTGGGTGTGGTTGTGTTTGTTAAGTTTTTGTTTTCGTTTGTATTTGTAATTGTGTTAGCGTTATGTTTGCGTTTTGTTGTTTTGGTTTTGGTTGGTTGTGGTTTGGGTGGGCAATGCCGGGTTTATGATGATTACTAAACACACAGGTAATGGTCTTTAACAGAAAGGTTTTTCACAGAAGCCAGAGCAGGGCCTGGCCGGGACGGCTAGTTATCATATAACTGTGATTTTAATATTCAACCCCGTTTATAAATTGAAATAACATTACTTTCTTATTCTGGTGTAGCAGTTTATTGCATTAGAAAAGTTATTTTAAAAAAAAAACAGACTTTGAGTGCACTTCGATCAACATCCGCAAAGGTTAGGATGACCACACTCCTCATAGACAGCTCAGGTGTAAGCGGTGGAGCGGGACTATCGTATGGTCAACAGAATAAGCAACAGCATGGGGACAGAGGGGTCTAGCGGTAGAGAGCTTGACTGCTAACCCGTAAGTCTCGAGTTCGAAACCAAATTATCTCTCCATAATCAGAGGTCACAGAAGCATGTGAACTCTCCTTCACTTGACCGTCAGGTTTGAAAAGGGATTTTTACTTTTTTTGTTACAATGGGCATAGCTTGGCTTATGTGTTTAAGTTTGATCATAGATGGTATTATTTCACTGTATCCTTAGTGTTGGGCGCTGTTTAAAATAAGTGAAAATATACTTATTTATATATACTTATACTAAGTATATATGAATATACTTAAATATATATATATATATATATATATATATATATATATATATATATATATATATATATATATATATATATAGGGGGGGGCCTATATATATATATATATATAATGGAATATATGACCAAGGAAATATTACATATGGAGATGCTATATTTAATACTATTTAAAAACATTGTATTTGTTATTTAAGTTGTGTATTGATGTCAATCATAATTAATTATTTTGATTTCATTGCAAGCTGACTGACACTATGGAGCCTGTGAATAAAGGGAACAAAACAGTACCTAAGCAAGCAAAGCTGAACAGAATATTAATATTTATTTACCCAAAATGTTACAAAAATAAAAATCAATTTACCTTTAATAAATTAGTTTTTTTGTATTTAGATTACTTAAAATTTTATTAAATATGCATTACAGAATAATGTCGACCACTGACGTAGTTTTAAATTGTATATACATAACTACGTTTGAGTTCGACATATTAAAAATATCTAATATATACAGAAAATATTAAACATACTTTTACCAGAGTTTATCCCCCCCCACCCCCCCTCCACTCCTCTCAGTATTCAAAAGTCTGGAAAAACAGCCACTAGATGCATTGCGCACATTTTACAAAATCCCAAATTAGTTTATAAAAAAAAACTTTTTTTTTCCCCATCCAGTCTATTATCCGTGGCTTAAAATAAAATCATTGCTCTATAAAATGAAAGTGTTGTGTGTTTGTTAAGAGAAAAACATGTTATACTTAATGGCATGGTAAGCACACTGGCTGTGTTTTATAAGGCTTACTTGCACTTAGGACACAGAAAGAAGTGGAATCTACTTTACTTGCCCCGTACACCATAAGGTTTGAAAAGGAAATTTTACTTTACTTGTTAATTTAACCAAAAGCTGAAACACGTGCAGCTGATCTACAGAGCTCAATGTTTAATACACGTGATCATGTGTCATTGTTTAGCGCCTAATGGTGTATGTGGTATCGCAGACTTAAAGCGTTATTGTTCAATGAGATAAGAGTCGGCATGGTCGAGTCTGGAAAGCTCATGTTAGCTAAACCGAAAAATCCCGAGTTCGAATCCTTTGGCAGATGAGGCTCGTTAGCTGGGGACTGCAACACTTCTCGGAGAAACAACTCCAAAATCAAACAACTGCTGCCTTGGAAGCAAATCCAAAAATAAAAGCAGGCTAAAATCGGAGTCAATGGCCTAAATGGCGCATGAACAGTTGACACGTACACTTAATTGTGTTTGATTGATCCCTTCCAAATTAAAGAACTAAAATTAAGAACGGAGAAGAAGTAGACTTTCAATGAGATTACCGAAAATAAAAAGGATATAAACAATTGTGTTAAAAAATTAGAGATTCAAGCAATGAAATTGATAGCTGCATTGAGGTTTAAGCAAATAGTAATACAATGAAATATAATGTGTATATTCAAAAATTAAGAAAAAGTATAACTACAATTAACTTTTCGTTACACGAAATTTGTCCTCGCACATCAGAGTAGTTCAAGTCAAAACAAAAACGACAAACATTGACGAACCTTTGGACTTATACAGTGAAATTACGTCTAGTGCAAAAGCAACTACTTTAAAATGAATAAAAGCAAATTACGGACAACTGAGCAATGGGTTATGGTAGGTGTGTGAAGAGTTGTGTCATATAAGGTTAGATGAAGTAGACTTGATCATTAAAACGGTAAGACGCTCGCTCGGCAAAACTTAATATACCGCTTGTGCTTGTTCGCCAGCATTTGAAGATTATGACGGAGTCGGACAGCGGTTCCGCTAAAATCTTCTTCATTTTTACTTTCTCGTAGTATAGAGAAAGTCTTGTAATCGTGCAAAAAAAAAAAGAATATTCGAGAAAGTTTAAGGGAGAGCACTCCCGGTTTATTATGTTTTGTCTAAAGTGATTAAACATGAGAACTCCACTTCATCCCCTGCGTCTTGGCATAAACGGGAAATGAAGATGAAACACAGGATGGATATATTTATATTTTGTGGATGTAAGGCTTTGGTTAACTTTATGTGTTGGATACATTTTTTTACATCTGCTACTTTAACTGACGAAAAACATTTTACCGCTGAAGATACGTATATCAAGTGTACGGGTTATTGTTATAGATTTCCGTCGAACACTTGTTTGTAGATAGTGGGGCCAATACTTTGTACCGTGGACTAGAAGCTGCATAACTGAAGTGGTACATAAGGGAAGTAAATATAGGTGTCCGGTCAAAAACCCCCTGGACAAAAACCCCCTGGACATAAACCCCCCGACATAAACCCCCTGGACAAAAACCCCCCGCGACATAAGCCCCCTGGACAAAAACCCCCCGCGACATAAACCCCCTGGACAAATACCCCCCGCGATATAAACCCCCCGGATAATAACCCCCGGACTGAGGTTTATATAAAGAAAAAATAACGATGATGTGAACCAAGAAATTAAAAAAAAAATTACATTAAATCAATTTAATTTTTTACGACTAAGAAAATAGTTTCTACCTAAAAAAATGCTTTTCGAAATCAAGGAGTGACCTTAGTTGTATTTGATCAAAGATCGGGCACCGACAACACCTTAGATATAGGTCATCCACATGTGGGAGCACTGCGGATCAAAGCAACACATTCTTAACAATTCGAAAGATGTGAGGGATTCACCGGCGGAAGCTTGGTTCATATCCACCTTGGCATACAGAACCATGGTATAAATATAAAATCAAATTTATTTCTCGACAAATCGTATATTTTCTGGAATGGAGTTTGTTCAATCCAATAAAGGAAATTTAAAGGTGATTTTTGAAGGCTATGTTTATGTCAAGCAAAAAGATCTGGCAAACGGCGTTGTGTCATTTGAGTGTTCCAAAAGACGCAACAAGGCAGAATGCAAAGCAAAAATAAAGATTCATGGTGAACAGCTTGTTGGACGATGTAATGAACATTCGCATGGACCAGATCCATCTCAACTGGAAGTGTGTAAAGTAGTGCAGCAGATGAAACAACTGGCAGAAGAAACGGAAGCAACACCCCAGCAGATCATCACTCAGTCCATTACTACGATTACTGAAGATGCCAAGGCTAAGCTGCCCTCGATTCCACACATACGGCGTAACATCAGGCGTCAACGTCAAACGCTAAAACACCCACTGTCTGATCCAAGGAATGTTGATGATATAATCATTCCTGAACAATATACAATGACACAAGATGGACAACAATCTCTTCTGTTCGATTCCGGTGCCAAATCAAAAGGTAGGATGTTTTTGTTTGGAACCAAGGACAACTTTAGGTTATTGGAGGTTAATCAGCACTGGTTTATGGATGGTACATTCAAAACAGCTCCTGCATTGTTTTCACAACTGTACACAGTCCATGCATTGGTCAATGGACGCACTGTTCCATGTGTTTATGCCTTGCTTCACAATCTGTCTTTTTAAAGTTATAATAAAAATAAAAGTTTTTTCCTAATGTTTGTTTTGTATTTTTATATTAATTTTGTTTCTCGTCATCTTTGGTTTTTCCTTATATAAACCTCAATTGGGGGGTTTTTGTCCAGGGGGTTTATATCGCGGGGGGTTTTTGTCCAGGGGGTTTATATCGCGGGGGGTTTTTGTCCAGGGGGTTTATGTCGCGGGGGGTTTTTGTCCAGGGGGTTTATGTCGGGGGGTTTATGTCCAGGGGGTTTATGTCCAGGGGGTTTTTGACCGGGAGCCGTAAATATAACAAAGATTCAAAAAATATATTTTATATCATGATACACGAATGTAGTATTGCAGGTAACAATAATTTAGAAAAGAAATATCAGAAATTGTCAAAACCAAACATTGCTATTACCTGATAGCAATTGTCTATTAATTCTGCTCAATTAAGATCAGATTTGTATATTTTTTAAATTCTTAAATACAATAAAGGTAAAATACTTAGTTTTTATTACTAGAAATATTAATTAATCAGTTGATTACTATATTTTTTGAGATAGTGTTCAAACAACACAGCTCCCTTTTAAACCAAATTTTCTATTGTGTGTGCCGAAGTTGTCTTTATCCATCTCTTTTAGGAGGGGGTGGGGGGGGGGGGGTGGGGGGTGGGTGGGACTAAATTTTCAGGAGGGGGGGGGGGACTAAATTTTCAGGAGGGGACCGACACTAGTAAAAGTATATAATTCTTATATGTCTAAGGTGAGATTAGGTTTTAGTAATATTGGCGAAATAATATGAATAGGTAATATTTCAAATTTGTAGTTTTGTTTCAGCTTTTAACAACTTTCTCTGTAACTGGACGTGATACTAACTCAACTACCGGTTTATTTCAAAAGAAAAACTTGAGTACAATTAATGTTAGACGGTCGCAATTTCACATATAAGTAATACATTGTACACGCATGCTTCGTTCAAATTTTGAATGCTTTCCTATGAGCGGAAGTTTACTTTACAATTTTTAATTGACTTCCGATAACTAAAGTGGTGTTTTACTCTATTTATGTTTTCTATGATACAAATATTTTGTATGTTTAATATCTTACTTCTTGAATGTTTTAAATTTTTAGTGATTTCTGATGAACTGTAGTATTACTTTTCTGAAATTTTTCTGAAATAGTATTACCAATTTCTGAAATAATATCACTGCTACAGGACCGATTCCTTCAAAACTTATAAAGCACTAATTTTCCACTCTTTTATACAAACATCAGAGTTTCTTCCAGGCAACCCCCCCCCCCCCCCCCCCCGGAAGAAAATCTACCCCCCCCCCCCCTTCGAACAAAGTGGAATTTATATAGAAAACATAAAATTTTACCAGTGTCCCCCCCTCCCCCCACGAAAATATACAGTACACTCCCGGAGAAAAAGGTCTGGAAGAAACACTGACACACATTGCACGTTTAGTGCACATGTCTTTTTTTTCTACGCGATTCTGTTCTATTTGAAACAAAAATGTCATATACGAGAAAATTCAAGGGAGATCACCCCCGCTTCATTATAGAAAAGTGTAGCCTACAAACAACTTAATTTAAATATCTCATACCTTTTCTGGGCCAGCTTCTTACGTAAATTCCAAACATTTAGAACATGATTCTTTTCAAACGTTAGATGCATATTTTAAGAACTCTAATTGTGGCTTGCGCATAATAAAATTTCACATCATATAATTGTCATATTTAAAGCGTATTAAAAGTTGTCAGAGGCAAATATTTTCTAAAGTTATGTATATCATTACTCGACAACGCTCTTCAATACTCATCAAAAGCACGTGTACTGAAACAATTTTGAATAGAGGATATAATGCTTTATTGTTTGATAACTTTTTATTTGTAG